AGGGGCAAAAGACCAAAATTGCACAAAAATTACCTGCAGATCTTGACGGCAAAGTAAGTATTTTTTTTGAAGTGGGGGGTAGTCTTATACAGCGAATATAGGCCTAAACCTATGTTTTAACTGTAAAATTAGGGGGTCGTCTTATACGCCGGAAAATACGGGTATTGCTAATTTTCTCCATATCAGGGACACAAGTTGGAATATTTGGGGGTGGGGATAAGGAGTGTTTCTCCTTGCCTCTTGAAACCAGGGACATTAACATTCCTCAAAGACATTCAGAAGAGCCATGTTCTTTGGAAAAGCATATATAGGAAAATAGTTCTATGGTCAAATAAGTTTGGGAGACACTTGGCTGAAGGAGGCTAGACAAGATTTCTCTGGGGTAGGACTTCCCAGCGTCTTTAATGACCGTAGGTATGCATTGGGGCTGACGGGAACCACAGGACCTGGCACAGGTCCTCTTGGGAACCAGAACACAGGCCTCCCATTACCAAGCTCTTGGGAGACCAGTGTGCCTGGTGGCGCAGTGCTTATCATGTGCCAGCCACTCCTGGCTTGCCTTCGTTCTAATACCTTGGTGCCTTTGACTCCAGGAAACCCTGGGCTATTTCCTTCTCCTGGTCAGTCAGTACTAGCCCCAGTCATTGGGCACAGTGGCTGGCACCGTGGGAAGTTAGCCCATGGGAAATTGTCATAACGAGCCCTCTGAAGCTGTGGGCAGCTCTCTCTGCATTCTCACTACCACCACCCTCAAACCAATTTGGCCACATGTCCTTGGGGTTTCATCAGGAATAGCTCACATCTAGTTTAATTATTAAATTTTATTTTAAGAGCAATTCCTGGCCATTGTACAATTGGGGGTGGAGAGGTGGAAGGGGAGAAACCTCACTGAAGATTACAAGGAGAGATGACTCCAGACTGTTTTCGCCTCATTCTAGGGCAGCTGCCTGGTCCCTGACCCAGAGCTGTGCATCATAGCCATGGTGTGTCTTTGCCATTTTCAGGCCAAAACCACTCACATGCGCGCGCGCACGCACACACACACACACACACACACACACACGTGCACAAACACGCAGTGAAACTACACAGAGTCTCCAGGGAGCACACTGTTCTTCTAGTAACAAACCACAGTCTGCCTCTAGGACGTGTGACCAGGCTCTGCTCCGAGAGAAGGCTCCGCAGGAGGGGAAGTGTTCCTGCCCAAGCCAGCAGCCCAGCCTCCAGGCAGCGTTTGGCAAGCCCCAACAGGATGCCAGGCTGGCTGGTGGGCAGGGCAAGACGCCACTCTGAACCTCTCCCCATTGTAATTTACCAAATCTATCTGGGGCTCCTCTGAGCCATTATTTTCTGGAAACTCCACCTTTCAAGGGTCTCCCTGTTAGCAGAGGTCAGAGTTCATGTGGGCCTTTCATGTTAAAGGAACTTGAAAGGAAAGGAAATGTGTATTTTCAGCCTTAGCTGTGATTAAGTGGGCTCAGGCCATGAGAACGCTCAGATGACTTACATGACGTTACACGAAGAGCCAATTAGCCTAACAACTTCCGAAAAATTTCTAGCTCAAGAGCACCCGTTTATTAGAGCGCTTGGAATGTGCCAGGCTTTGTGCTAAGTTCTTTCTTAGGACATATGATTCATCTCAGCCTCGCTCCCACAGTGCGAGGCACGTTCAGGTGTCATACCCCATTTTGCCCACAAAAAAGGGGAGGCTCAGAGAGGGTCGGGGATTTGCCTGGGGTCCGTGCCCCCACCCCCCACCCCCGCTAGTACATGGTAGGGCAGGGGTGAAATCTCAGGTCTGCCTAAATCCAGCACCAGAGCTCTCTTGCTCTAACCCTCAATCCTTGAGATCGCTTCGTCCTGCACCCAACATCTGAGGATAGCACATGCCCATGGGTTTATTTGCAAGAAGATGAAGCCTTGTTAAATTGCCGGCTCTGAGCTGGGCTTCATAAGTCCAGAAGGATCTGTGCCCCCCTGCAGAGTGCCTGGTCACACCCAGGGGGCAGCCACAGCGGATCTCACTCTCCTGCTCATGGGAGAACCCCAGGGCCCATCGCTATGGAATCTGAGTCCCTGTCCAGAGCAGGCAGTCTACATGGGCCCAGGCGTGAGCTGGTGCTGATGGAGGCTGCTCAGACTCTAGGAGACGCTCTGGATCCTCTTACCTCGCAAACAGTGGAGCCCCCTGCACAGACGGGCCACAGAGATTCCCCAGTCCTCCGGGCGGCCCCTCCAGGCGGCATGAGTCAGCCAGAAAGTAGGAACTCGATCTGCGGCAGCTCACTGACATTTGTCTGCGAAGACCACAGAGCAGAAAAGGACTCCGAGGAATGGTAAAGGTCATAACGGAACACGCGTGAGGGTATAAAGGGGTGTGGGCACAGGAGGTAGACAGCCTGGGTTTGGAATTCTGATAACCTCACTTCCACGCTGTGAGACCTCGGGTGACTTATTCAGCCTCTCTGGGCTTTAGTTTCCTTGTTCATAAATGAGAACGACAGTCCCTATATCATAGGATTGGTATGAGGATTAAGTGAGATCATGTGTGTGAAGCTCCTGACAGGAAGCCTGGTGCACGGCAATCACTCCGTGCGATGAAGTCACCGTGTGGATGACGACAGGATCAGTGCTAACCAGACCAAGAAGGGCTGACACGGGGCCTGCACTTGCCTTTTGGGGACAAGCCTGAGCTCCTTTCCCTCTCTCTCTCCAGGCCCAGATGAAATCTTTCTACTCCAGGAAGCCAACCTGACCACTCTCGCCCCACTGATCTCACCACATTTGAGCTCCTTCTACTCAAGGTTCATACAGACTAATACAGTGACGACGAACTTGGCTCTAATAATTTCTCAGCTGCTAGGCTGCTAAGGTGGTCTCCGGAGCCCCTCCCCTGTCCACAGCCTGAGTTTAGGGCTAGGTCTTCAGGCCTTCAGGCTGATTTCGGTGTGGATGTGGATATCTGAAGTCAGCCTGTCTCTTCCTCCTTACCCTCCTCACACCTATTTCCCTCTCACCTGCCTGCTCCCTGTTCCAACCGGCAGGGCAAGAGGTTGGAGCCATGACTCCACAGGGCAATGGCTCCCAGACTTGGGGATTTCAGAGTCCTACAAAATGCCCAAAGAAATTTGGGGGTGGGAGCGTGAACAGAGAGTTGCCAAGTTTTTCTTTGGCCAAATAAGAACATTAAAAAAAAAAAAAAATCAGTTCTCACCATCATTTCAGTAAAGAAAGGCTGTTTTCACACCAATAAAACGAAGTTCATAATCTCTGATTAAAGGCTAATATTTTAAGCTGAAAAAGTTTAGCCCTCTTGCGAAAAACAAACTCACTCACTGCCACCTGACTTCTCCCCTTTCTCTAAGGCCTGGAGAAAACGTGAGCCTGTGTCTTCATGAACCTGGGAACTCTGTCCTGGAAGAGGCTCCTGCTAGGCTGGGCTCACCTGAAAGGGCAGGAAGACCCTCAAAGCCTTTGGGTTGGGCAGGTCCTGTTCCCACTGGGCTAGAACAGGGGAGGCTCGTCCCAAAGCCAGGCCTTACATCTTCAAGGGTTGAGGTGGGGGAGGCCACGCATGGGCCCCTCCTCCTGAACTCTCCCCCTGAGCCTGGGCCAAGGCTGGCTGGAGCCCCTCCCCCTCCCCTAGAGGGGATGAGGTGAGACTGAGCGGCAACTCACACCAGAAAAGCTGACTGGGCTGGGGGGGGGGGGGCGGGACACTCAATGGGCAGGGTCTTCCACTCCCTTCCAAGGCCACACTGAGCACTAGTGCCCACCCCCACCCCCTCCCTCCTCCGGAAGGGAGGAGAGGAGGGCCCTCCAGCCCAGAGTGGAGGGGCCGCGGCGCCCCGCTGGGCGGGCGCAGATAGGATCTGCACGCGGGGAAGGACGGCCTCGCCTCTTTGATCCGCAGCCAGCCAGGCTGAGCCCGGACCCCGAGGGGCGGCGCGGCTCTCTTCCGGCCCGACTTTGCACCGCAGCCAGGGGTCCTGGGAGGCCCTGAGCCGGAGGAGCGTCCAAGGCACCCTCCTCCCTCTCCAAATGCCCTCTCCCAGTTGTTCTTGGGAGAGGTGGGACCGTCTACCCTGACTCCAGCACAGAAACCTGCTGGTGGCTGCGGTTCACTGCGCCGCGGCTCACAGGGGCCCAGACCCGGGGGCTGAGCCGAGGCCAGCGGGCTGTGGAGGCCCGGGTGGACTTGCAGAGGCGATGCAGCCGGCGCGCCTTCCCGCGCTCCTCCGGGCGGATCGACCCGACCGCTTGGGCCGTGCGAGGCCCCGTGTGCGCCGGGCTCGGGGTCAGCAGGCTCAGCGGGAGCGAGACTTCTTCCCGCGCTGAGTTGCCTGGCAGCCCCCGACCGCTGGTTCAGGGCCTGGGACTGGGCTGGGACAGCCGGGGAGGGAGAGGGTGTGGCTGGAGGATCCCCATGGAGGCGGGGGGAGCGGGGGTCCTTCCTCCTAGTCCCGCTGCTGTGTTCGTGCCTCGGGGCCGCCACTTGGCCGAGAGGCCCTCACAGACGTGACGTAGGAGCCCCACATGTACCAGGCACTCAGTGAACGTGTGAAGGGCGCGTGCTGTGTTCGCGCCGTGCGGGGACGGCCTCATGGGCTCAGGTTTGGAAAGTGGGCTTTGAGGAGGCCGGTTCCGGCCGGTGCGGGTGGGAGCACAGCCTGGGAGCAGCCCCAAGCTCCGGGACGTGCCCGAACCCAAGCCCAGGACGCCCTGGGCTCCGGACACAGACGCAGTGCACACTTTGGCTCCGGCTTTAAAGCCCCCGCAGTTTTCCAGGGTGTCAGGCGCCTCGCTCAGGTTACCCCGGGGGAGCGAGCCCTTTAAGAATATACCCCTGGGCGCGTCCCGGCCTCTCCCGGGAGAGAAGGGGCGGGGCCGGGCAGCTTGGTCACGCCCACCTCCGGGCCCCGCCCCCGGCGCCCCGCCCCGCCCCCCGCACTCCGCCGGCGGCGCCTTTGATGTTCCGACCCGCCAGCTCCCGAAGCGGCTGAGCCGGGCGCCCGCGCCCAGTGCCCCGCGCCCCGCGCCCCCAGCCCGTCCCGGCCGAGTCCGCCCGCGCGCCTCGCGCCGCGCTCCTGGCTCGTAGGTCCGGACTTCGGGCTCGCCGCTCCCCGGCCGGCTTCGCGCCCCGCACCTCGGCGCCCCGCGCCCCGCGGGCGGAGCGCACCATGCCGCAGCTGGACTCCGGCGGGGGCGGCGCGGGCGGCGGCGACGACCTCGGCGCGCCCGACGAGCTGCTGGCCTTCCAAGACGAGGGCGAGGAGCAGGACAAGAGCCGCGACAGCGCCGCGGGCCCCGAGCGCGACCTGGCCGAGCTCAAGTCGTCGCTGGTCAATGAGTCTGAGGGCGCGGCGGGCGGCGCGGGGGTCCCGGGGGCCGGCGCCGGGGCCCGCGGCGAGGCCGAGGTCGGGGCCGAGGTGAGCGCCGGCCCCCGTCCCGCTCCTCCCCGCGCGCGGCCGCGGCCGGACTCGGGCTCTAGCGGACCCGCCCCTCCCTTCCGCGGCCCAGGGGGTCCCCATCCCTCAGAGCCCCTCTAGCCCGGCCCGGAGTCCCCAGCGTTTCCCGCGCCCCTCACGGCCTCTCTGGATTTCCCCGCAGGCTCTCGGGCGGGAACACACTTCGCAGAGACTTTTCCCCGACAAACTTCCAGAATCTCTGGAGGACGGTGAGTTTCTGCACGACCCGGCTGCCCTCCCCGCTCCCCCCGCCAAGGCCCAGGCCTCCGGGGGAGGGAGGGAGGGAGAGAACCGAGGGGGCGCCGTCCCCTCTCCTCTCCTCCCCCTCCCCAACTGCGGCTCCAGGAGGCGGTAAAACCGAGGGGGTGGGGAGAGTGGGGGGCGGGTTTCCCGGGCGCCTCCGGGCTCGAGTCACTTCCGGTGCCCTGACCTTTATATGAGTAAACAGACCCCCTTCATCTCCGCCTCCCCTGCTGCCCAGGTGACTGCCTAAGCCCCTGTCCTGCGGAGCAAGCGCTGGCCAAGGGTCCTTGGCCGCCTGGGGGCGCGGGGGTCCCGTGGGGGCCGCCTAGGGAAGGCCTGGACCTAAGAAACTTGGCAAAGGGCACCTCCATCCCTTTTCTTCTCACGAACTTGAAAGGGACCCCTTGGCCATTCTTATTTTGCTCTCCAGAGCAGCCAGCCTTCAGCCCTAGCTGCCCGGGCTGGCGTGGCTGACCCAGCTGTGGTTTTTCCAGGCCTGAAGGCCCCGGAGTGCGCCAGCAGCATGTACAAAGACACCGTCTACTCCGCCTTCAATCTGCTCATGCACTACCCGCCCCCCTCGGGAGCGGGGCAGCACCCCCAGCCGCAGCCCCCACTGGTAAGTGGCCCCACCCCAGCCGGGTGCCTGCGACCTCCTGGACCAGGTATGTGAGGCCCGGGCAAGAGGTGACTTTCACTTACAACAAAGTAGATACAGGAGGATTCTGTTCTGGTCTCTCTTCCCATTCGTGCCCAGAAAGATGGGAGTCAGAGGAGAACTTTGCTGAAGGAAGGAGGGATGGCCTTGGGGATGCCACTTCCCGCTGGCTGTTGACTTTTGTCTTTCCAGCTTGCTCACGAGCAGGTGTGTAGGCCTTATCCCGGTGCTTGGTGATGCTGGGGTGTAATCTTCTCATAGTCAATTTGAGCTGAGACCCATCCCCCTGACTCCTGAGGGTGGTGTGCATAGTGTGGTCTGAGCTGTGAGCTTTGTAGTTAGTCACCCCCCACCCCCACCCCCCCGGAAAGCCCGAAGCCTTGGTGCTGGGAGGAACTGGCAGGAAAGCTGGTGGGCTTCAGATTTCCCGGTTGTGGATCGCGACTTGCTCTGCCCTTACTGGCATGAGTGCACCTTGCAACAGAACGGGCCTAAACACCGTGTGCGGAAAGTGAAGCTGGCTTGGTCTCAAATGCACCACGAGAGGGTTGTTGAGGTGTTTCAAATCTGTAATGTTGGTAAAGGGCCTGTTTGATGAATTTGTAAATTAAGTGTGTTTACATACCCAGTGGTTTGAAAAGAGTTCATGATCATTACGAACCATGCTTTTCTGACCATTGGAGCAGATGATCTCAAGTGTGAAGAGCCTGTTCTGAGTGCTTTGGAGCAGTTAAGCTGCACTTAAAAAAAAAAATTCAGATTAGTGTTTCAGATTGTCCTCAGGTAGCCGAAGTTGGGGTGAGGTTAGAGCTCCTAGAGTACGTGAAAGGTTTGGGGGACTGTCTTTGGCGGATGTTGGGTGCACAGTGTAGGTGGGTCCCCTGATGGGGTCGCCCAGAGGGAGGAGGGTGACTGCCTGGCTTGCTGATCCGGAGATGAGGGTTTCGTGCTGAAGGCAGTGGGAGGTGAGACTGAGGCTTCCCTCCAGAAACCCAGGATGGAAAACCTTGTAGACAGCCGACTCAGGAAGTGAGTTCCTTGCCCTTTGAACCCCTGTTTTCTCATCTATAGAAGGAACAAGTTGGATGAGTGTTCTTTTTCTGCTCAGGGGTGGCTCTAGCTAGATGTTTGCTTCCTTTCAAGTCTAGCGGGGACGGGTGCTGACCACTGACCTTGCCACCTGATGCAGCAGCTCTCCTGAGAGACCTCTACCCCACAGGAGCAGATGCTTAACAAAGATGCTTTTGGGGTCCCTTAGAAGGAGCAAGCCCTTCGATTTGGGGCCAAGTTGACATAACCCACCGCTGCCATACCCCTGGCAGGTGAGTTGCTTGCTTGTACGGTCAGGGGGCTGGAGTCGCTGTGATAACCGCGACTAGACAAAAAGCCTGGGCCCGAGAACAAGCCCAGCAGGGCAGGCTGCCCTCCTGCTTCTTGTGATCCCACATGGTGCAAGGAAAAGCAGTGTTTCTGAGTTCCTTTCATGGCCTGGGCAAGTGCCGGGAGGGTGCCCAGAGCGGGAGGGCCTCGTTCTCTGCAGGGGTGTGACGATGAGGCCATTTGGTGTCCTCTAGTTCACATTGGTCAAAAAGTAGGTGGACCCACAACCAACGCCAGCCTAAGGATGGGGGCGGGGTACACCACCACTCTCCTGGCCTGGATTTTTTTTTTTCAAGTTGGGATCCTTCTCAAGATACAGCAGATGTATTTATGTCATACCCTCTCCCATAAGGGCAGCCCCCCTGGTTCTCCTCCCCACTCAGCTGCTGCCTCCCTGCTGCCTAGTTTCTGGGAACACAGGAGGAGGACAGGCTCTGGCACTGACTCTCAGTGCCCTGGTGCCAGCTGCTTCAGGGGGTGTGGGCAAGGATAGAGGCGAGGGCCTAAGTAGGGGTGGCACTGTGTAAGGAAGATGTATGTGAATGTAGTGGAGCCTCTTTTAAGTGTCAGCCCACAGACTGAAGGGTCCTGGGTTCGATTCCAGTCAATAGCACTCCCTTGAAGGGCACATGAGGGAGGCAACCGATAGTTGTGTCTCTTACATCGATGTTTGTCTCTCCCATTCCCTTCCACTCTCTGAAAACTTGATAGTTACAAGCAAATAGCAAGTAAGAGTATTTATAAGCAAATTGCATTACTCAGAAGAATTGTACGGACATTTAAAATATGGTTTTGCTTTTTAAAAAGCAAAATTAATTGACCCTATGTTTTGGGAGCATGTTTATCATGTGACTCAAGGTTCATGTCTAGAATCAGAAAAATATTCTCTTCAAGTGGGTCAGGAGCCCCTTGCAGGGCCCTGAGGAAGAGCTGGTGCTTTCCTGAGCCCATCTTCACAGCGCAGATGACAGGCTGCCCAGCCCCAGCCCAGGGGCTTGAGAACGAGGCTCCCGGCCCTCTCTGAGAGCGTGCAAGTGGTCAGCCGTTGTGCTGAGGAGCTCAAGACCAATCCCTTGACTTCTGAGACCCATGCCAGGGACCTTCTCTGCCCATGTCTAGATGGAATGTCCATGTGGCTACCACGTTGGGTACCTCAAAACAGGCAGACCGGAGCCTAGCCTGGAGAGACGGGCCAAGTAACCACCTCACGCTTAATTGCCACAGGGCAGAGGGAGATCGCCCCCCAAAACAAAGTTAGTTTCTCTTGGGTACGTGGGGTCTTGTAGACTCTGTTTGGGTAAGCGGAATTAGGTCAGAGTTTATTTCATGGCTGATGTTTGTCAGGCATCGAATGCGGGTTTGCACAGTTACTGGCCTAGAGCAGTAGCCACTCCTTACTTTGGTTTTATTTCCTCTGCTCCGAGACCTGGGGATGGGGGTGGAGGCCACTGAGTGGGTCCTGGGCCAGAGTTTGAGGGGCTTCTGGGATGAGTAAGGCATCATTCCTGAGGGAAACACAGGCTTTTGAATGTACAGGACTTGTGGTCTGGTACAAATCCTCATCTCAAAAGAAATACGAAGCCACATTGCTCTGTGACCCCTTCCATGGGCTCCACTGAGGACCAGTGGCCTGGAAGGCTGATGAGCCTTTTGCTATTTTTTTTAAATATATATATATTTTATTGATTTTTTACAGAGAGGAAGGGAGAGGGATAGAGACCCAGAAACATCGATGAGAGAGAAACATTGACCAGCTGCCTCCTGGACACCCCTACTGGGATGAGCCCGCAACCAATGTACATGCTCCTGACAGGAATCAAACCTGGGACCCCTCAGTCTGCAGACCGACACTCTATCCACTGAGCCAAACCGGTTTTGGCAGCCTTTTACTATTTAGATGAACTGTCCAGCATGGGCAAATCCATAGGGACAGACAGTAAGTTAGTAGTTGTCAGGGCCTTGGAGAAGAGGGTTGAGGATGGACTCTAATCGAATTTCTTTTTGGGGTGATGAGTATGTTCTGGAGTTAGATAGTGGACACAGTTGTACCACCATATGAATATACTAAAAGCCACTGAATTGTACACTTTTTAATGGTGAATATTATGGTACATGAATTACATCTCAGTACAGGGGGAAAACATACACCTGAGGTTCTTGGCTCTCAGAGGGACTCGGGACTGTTCCCTCTGTCTGAGCACTGTATCCTTCCTGGTACCGGGAGTGCCTCAAGCCAGGGGGTCAGGCATCAGCTTCTAGGTGGAGGAGCCCAGCGAGGCAGTGGACTCATGCTGGGGCTCCTGGCCAGGTGGCTCACATTCCCTGACTCCAAGGTCTGAGGTCCAGGTGGGGCTGTGCAGACAAGTCCCTAGGGAGCAGGAGGTGAGGGTGTGAGCAAGACGAGCATAGGAAGGAAGTGCTGCTGACACATGACCAGCCTATCCAGGGGAGCTCTGCAGAGATGCACCCACTCAGCCCTCCACACCCTACAGAGAGAGCAGCAGGGCCTTGTTGGGGAGGGTTACTGATGGTCGATCACCAGTTCTGGTTGGAGTGAAGCCTGTTAGAAGGGAGGCTGGCACTAGGCTGGGCACCTAGATGGGCCAGAACCAGCCTCCGCCTCTGGGAGCGCCTGGCTGAGGGGAGAAGACTCCCTTCTGGCTGGACAGTGCTGTCACAAAAGACCCAGCTGGGAGTGTCCTGGGCAGAGCTAGCGCAGGAGGAGGGTCTGCTAAGCAAATTCCTAAGGCATGCTTGTCCGACAGGTGAAGACAGAGACCTGGCAGGCACCTGGGATCCCCTCCAGATATCCCTGATTTCCCACTTCTCCACTTCAGTCACCACCCCCCAAGCCCAAGCATCTCCAACCCTCACCCAGATGGCAGTAGTAGCCCCCTCCAGGTTCCCTCTGCACCTACTACCCCCTACCCTCACTGCCACTCCAGGCTCCACATAGCAGCCAAAGGAGTCATTTAAAAACATAAATCAGCCCTAGCCGGTTTGCCTTAGTGGATAGAGTGTCTTCGGCCTGCGGACCAAAGGATTCTGGGTTTGATCCAGTCAAGGGCACATGCTCGGGTTGCGGGCTTGATCCCCAGTAGGGGATATGGAGGAGGCAGCCAATTCATGATTCTCATCATTGATGTTTCTATCTCTCTGTCCCTCTCTGAAATCAATAAAAGTCTATTTAAAAACCAACAACATAAATCAGATCCCATCTCCCACCTGATTAAACCCTGCAGTGGCTTCCCATTGCTTCTGGAATAAAGTCCAAACCTCTCACCACATCCTGAGTGCCTGGGTGGCCAGCACCTGACCACCCCCCTCATCAGCACCGTACTCTTCTCTCCCTAAATAGCAGCCAAGTCAGTGTCATGATAAGTTTTAGAACCAATGAGAATCTTTTTCGCCTCAGGACCTTTGCACTTGTCCCCTCAGTTCGGAATTCTTTTGCAGCTCTTAACATAGCTACAACCTTTTCATTCCTCATTCATGGCTTAATTCAAAGGTCACCACCTCAGAGAGACCTCCTTTGGTACCCTCTGTCATGGCTGCCTACCCTCACAGCCTCTCTGGCCAAA